CCCCCCCCCCCCCGGCCGCCTCTACCAGAAGTCCCGGCGGTGGTAGGAGTCGGGGTCACAATACTTTGTGACAACAACTCTGTTGGCGAACTTGCGGCCTGTCAGGCCCTGCATGGCTTTCTGGCAGTCAAACACAGAGGTGAACTCCACAAAGATCTGTGGGAAAACAAGAAGCAGGTTTGTGAACAAGGCTCACACCCAGCAGCCAGCCAGCATCCATCCAAGCCCAGAACTCAGTGCAGGAAGGGAGAGGGAGGAAAGAGCCTGGTCACAGGCTTGAGAAAGGAACCCCTGGTGCAAGTTTGGTGGTGGTCACCCAGACGCCCCCCCCAGGATCAAAGAACAAAGGTACAGAGACACCAGAGGGAAAGAAGAGAGCTGTGCCTGAAAGTCAACGGAGACACACTGCAGGTGATGGGTGAGGGGTGCAAGCAAGCTCCCTGGAGGAGGGGTCACGAATTGAGTGTTCTGCACCAGCCACTGGTGGGTGCTTCCAGAGCCACCCCATGGGCTGTGTTGTCCCCAGACAACAAAATTGGGAAGCTAAGAAATGAGGATTCAAACCCAGGTTGATAAACTTGAACCTTCACCTACTCAAGCTTCTAATCTTGCTCAAACCACCAATTTACAGGAAAATGGAGGCAGGAAAGGACACAAAGTTCTACACAACCGATGACTATTTCTTCAATAATAAAATGGCTTGCAAAAGAAAAAATGGAGGGAGTGATACAACTGACAAATTAGAAGAAACTGTGTAACCAAATCCATTATGAGGACCTAACTTGGATCCTTACAAACTAACTGTAAAAAAGGTTTTAAGACAGTAAGAAAAATATGAATTAGGTAGACACTAAGGAACCATTAGTTCTGTTAATATGGTATAGTTTCATTAAAAACATTTTTTTTTAGGTTATCTGATTAGAGCAGTGATTCTCAACTCGGGGCCAATATGTACGTCCCTACTGAGCAGTGGCTGGACATATTGTTGGCTGTCACAAAGCGGGTAGCAGTGCTCCTGGCGTCCAGTGGGTGGAGGCTGGGGTGCAGCTAAGCATCCTACAATGCACAGCACAGACCAGGAAAGAGCTCCCAGACCCAAAATGTCAGCAGTGGAAAAATTAGAGAAATGCAGTGCAGGATATGAGACACAGCTGATGTGTTTGGGAGGCTGAGGTGAATGGATTGCCTGAGCCCACAGGTTCGAGACCCACCTGGGCAACTTGGCGAGACCTCATCTCTACAATAAATCAAAAATTAGCTGGGCATGGTAGCACGCGTCTGTAGTCCCAACTACTTGGAAGGCTGAGGTGGAAGGATCGCTGGAGCCCACCAGGTCAAGATTGTGATGGCCGGGAGCGGCCACTGCACTCCAGTCTTGGCGATAGAGTGAGACTCCAACTCAAAAAAAAAAAACATTCCAGCAAGCCGGGCTTGGTGGCTCAGCCTGTAATCCCGCACTTTGGGAACCCGCGGGTTCAAGACCCGCCTGGGCAACTTGGTGAGACCTCATCTCTACAATAAATCAAAAAAGCAGCCGAGTGTGGTAGCATGCGCCTGTAGTTCCAGCTACTTGGAAGGCTGAGGGGATTGCCAGAGCCCAGCAGGTTGAGGCTGTGGTGGCCAGGAGCATGCCACTGCACTCCAGTCTGGGCGACAGAGTGAGACTCCAACTCAAAAAAAAATTCCAGCAAAAAAGAAAGGGTGGGGAAATACACAAATTAAGAAAGGCAAAATATTATTAACTTGAAGCTGGGTGATGGAGCACTGTATTATTACATTATACTGTCCTGTTATACAAAGTATATCACTATCACAGCCTCTACTTAAGTATGCTTGAAAAGACCCATAATAAAAAGTGTAAAAACAAAACAGGAAGCAGGCAACAATAAATTTAAAAAGTCAAACAGGGTAGCTGACCCCCAAAACAAGCATCTCCTTAGCCTCTGGCTCATTTCAGGCTCCTTCCCAGCCCTGAAAAGTCACAGTGGGCAGCGCTGATGAACCCTGACCCATGAGAACCCCGATCGCTCAGGAGGTCCAGGGAGAGGAGATGCCCTTCCCACTCCCCCACCCTTTGCTCTCCCTTGGCAAGCTCATCCAGTAGGACATCTGAAACAGGAAAACAGGACTGGTTTCTCAATGGCACTCAAGGCTTCACCAGCCCTCACACTGGGAACACAGAACTGCCCAGCTAGCTGTTCCTGGGCATCTCTATGGGTGTCTCAGGAACTGCAAAGCCAGGTGGCCCCAGGCTGACCTTCATCTCACCAACCTGCTCATCATCCTTGGTCTCCCCCACCATTCCCCACCCAGTCACAGAGCTGTCACTCAGTCTTCTGCCTCCCTGTCCCAGCAGACCCAAACCAACCACCAAGGTTTAGGCACTCCACAGGTTCAAGTCTCTCTCCAACCCACCAATGTCTCTCCATCCCCTGCTACTGCTCTGCTTTCCAGGCTCACTCCCATCTCCCACGTCACTGTGAGGGCCATCTCTATCTGCCAAGCATGACCATATGAGACCCCTCCACAGGGCCCTTCCCATCTCACTGGCACCACACGCAAAGACCTGTGGCTCAGTCTCCACCCCACCATCTATCTCCCTCCCTCACCTGCTCACTGCCACCCCTTCACCTCAAACACTCTAAAGGCCATGCCCAGAAGCCCTGCCCACTCCCACGACTCAATGCAGCATATGTGGCATCTACCAGCTGTATCTTAGCTTCTGCTGCACAGGGCCGAGGGAGTTTCCACTCACTGCCAAGCCCTCAACAGCAAGATCAGAGCCTGGCACGATGGAAAGCCCATGAACACGCTGAGTCAGCAGTGAAGGACCAGATCACATGCCCTGACCACCATCTCACAGGTATAGATGTGAGGCAATTAAGCTGGAGGCGAGATGACTTAGTGGGCTCTGAGAGCAGATGGCAAGAACCTGAAAACTGATGAGTCCCGTCCCCTCTGCCTTGTCTCCTCCCACAAAGGGGCTTGGGGTACGGGGAGAGCTGAGCCAGTCAGGCACTTCAGCAGAGTACCTGACACAGAGGAGACTCCAGGGGATGTCAGTGGGGCTATTTTTAGCACTTTTCTCCCTGCTTCACAGACAAGGCAAAACCACTTGCACAAGGTCACGAGAAGGGGGAGGCAGAGCCAAGTCTTGAAACAAAGTTCTTCAACACAAAGCCCAAGCTCTCAGCCACAGTAGCAGCATCTCCCAACTACTGTCATGCCTGCAGGCTCTGGGCACCCACAGGGCCATACACTTCTCCAGGCCACCGCCTCCACGGCCAGGCCCAAGGGAGCACTCAGCAGTGGTGTGTGCACACGTGCAGCAGCAGGAGGGGAAGGGGAAGTCATGTGCCAACTGGCCCGTGCCCTGACCTTTCCGCAGCCGGGCACCTCAACGCCATCCACGGGCCGGGGGATCTCGATGGACTTGACAAGCCCATACTTGCTGCACTCGTCGCGCACATCCTCTACGATTTCCTCATATTCCTCATCGTCCAGCAGCTCCTCAGGCAGCACCATGTTCATGAGGCACAGGACCTCGGTCGGGTGGCCGCCCATCTGCACCTGGGAGCTCATCAGGCCCGGCACTTGCAGCGTCACAGGTGTCTGATTGATGGTGCTCTGTGGGGCCAGGGGAGGCAGGGGTGTCACAGGGGGCCCAGACCAGTCTCCCTTTGCTCAAGCCTGCGCCCCTTAGGCATCCACGCAGGGGAAAGGCTGTCCCTCCACCTGACCCCTAGGTAGTCACGCCCCAGCCCTGCACCAGAGGCCTCCCCACCATCCCCTCCCATGAAGGTGGGGCAGAGCTCAGGAGCAGCTGTCCCACCAGACCCTCCCACCCCAGGGCCCTCTAGCCAATGGAAGATGACGTGCCGGGGGGCTCACCAGCGTGGCATTCTTGGCTCCCACACTTGCCCTCTGGACGAGCAGCTTCTTATCCCCCAGCTGCATCCCGTTCAGCCCCGCAATGGCCTGCGTCGGGAGGGTGGGGGGTGGGAGGGGGTGCAGGGAGAGGTGGGATCAGGGGCCAGGAGCCCAACACCTCCCCCCAGGCCGGGGCATCAGTGGGGAAAGAGGGCAAGGCAAAGGTGGGGAGGCCTAGAAAGAGCCAAAACTGCGGGAAAGGGACAAGCACCACACAGAGGGCACTGCTTCCAGCTGGCCGCCTCCCGCCCCATCCCGCCCCATTCAAACAGCACAGGGTGGGGAAGGGCAGACGCAGTAACAGTCAAGGGCCTGGGACTCACCTGATCTGTGACGTTGATGTCCACGTACTCACAGAAGGCGTAGCCCTTGGAAAGCCCCGTGGCACTGTCCTTGACCAGGTTGAAGGCCTTGAGAGGCCCAAATGATGTCAGCAGCTCTTTTACCTACAGTAGGCCAAGAATCTATCAAGGCTGGGTGAAGGCCAGGGCTGGGGAGGGGTCGGGAAGGAGACAAGGGGGTTACCTGGTCATCGTTCAGGTAGTTAGGTAAGCCCCCAATGAAGAGCTTGTGAGCAGAGTCAGGGACCACAGTGGACACAACTCCTAAATGCAGAGGGAAAAGGGACTTCAATTCCAGTATGAGGTCATCTCTCCAACACCTGAGGGTAAGACCCTCAAGCACCCACCAGGACCCTCCCCGCCTGGGAGCAAGGAGGCACCACACCCTACATGCCTCCCCCCAGTCTGATGCGATAAGGGGCCTGAGCAATGGCACACCATGGCCCCTGGCGAGAGGATGCTCTGTGCCTTCCAGACGTGTCCAGCCTCGGGGGAGCCTCAGTCTAGAAGCATCCCCCAGAGCATCCTGAGGAGACAAAGACCCGCATCCACACCCACATCTGTCACCTGCTGCCTGTGTGACCCAGCAAATCAAGGGGCTCTGGACCTGCTGGTGAGTCGCGGCACACACTTGATCCTTTCTATACCCCTCAGGCCTCCCCTCAGTGCCCTTCACTGACAACACCCAGGTAAGTCTCCCATCGAATATCTCAGTCCCTCCCGTGTCTACAGGACAGCAGGTCATCCGCTCATCTGAGGTGTGGGATGGGCCTACCCTCCCAGGGCATGGCAGGACAAGGAGTTGAGAGGCTACCCAGGGAGTCTCAGAACAATGTTCTCAGCACTGGCTGTGACAATCCCAGTGGGACCTGCCAGCTGAACCTGGGAGGCTGGATTCAGTGTCCATGAGGGCTGAGATGACACAGCAGGTCACACCAGCCGAATTTAACGGCCCCTCCTGGAATCTCAGAAAAGTGCCTGCTGATGGGATGGTTCAACCCAACATCCACAGGCTCTGTGAGGAGATCACTTTGCTCTTGGGGCTGTCCCATCAGACGTAAGCCATGTGAGGTCCCAGCACCCTCCCATGCAGCCTGGCCCAGCCTCCTCCTCCTCTGCAGCCCCCCACCAAGTCAGCAGCTCTTATGACTTGGGGCCCATCCCACCCCATCCTGACCCTGGGCAGAACACGTAAGACAGGAACTGGGAAAGCATCTCAGAAGCTGAGCTGCAGTGCCTGCGGGAGGAAGGGGAGTGCTCATCCACCCTCCAGGCTCATGTATGCCCCAGGGTGCACCCTCTCCTGTCACCCACTCACTCCAACCCTTCCCACCCAAACACATCTCCCCACCGCAGAACTAGAGGCACCAACCCCGCCAGCTCCAAGAGCCAGAGCCAAGCCCCAGCAGAGTAAGGCCACACAGACCGCAGAAGGCCCAGCTCATATGCCACAGGACAAGCAGAAACAACCTGGGAGCAGGAACACCAAGTGCTCACCACAGGCCAGGTGCCCTGTCAAACTCTTCCACTCCACTTCTGCAATGCTCACAAAAGCGCTATCTCCAGTACAAAAGGAGTAAACTGAGGAGGCACAGAGCTAAGTCACAAAGGCAAGAAAAAGGTGGCCTCCAGAGCCCCACAGCCAACCATGACTCTCCATAGGCAGCCCCACGGACTGAAGGCTCTGCCTGGGGGCTGCACAGCCTGGGTCCCAAGAGTGGGTCACGTTGGCAGTCGGTGTCCAAACGCTGGCTCTGAACCACTGTGCACATTTCAGGGAAGCAGCACATGGCTGAGGGCATGGGAGTCCAGCTCTCTGGGTTCAAGCCATGGTGTGCCGCATGCAGCCCCAAGCACCTCTGTGCTTTCATCTGCAGGAGGAGGAGAGCACCAGCACCTGCCGTACAGGCCACGTGCCTGAGGACAAATCAAGCCAAGCGTGTATTTAATAACAGGCCCATCGCACTGGTCCTTGCTGTGGGCACACACACAAATAAACCCTGCCCTAACAGCAGGCACAGGAGTCCCCACAGCCGGGGCACTTGCCGGACTCACCACCACGACAGGGCCAGCCCAGGTAAGCACTATGTCAGTGACACGAGCCACTGTTATAACTTCATGGGAGTTTTCTCAGAACCTCGTTACTCCACTAACCAAGGAGCAGCAGCCCCAGTCAGCAGGGATGTCCCAAGAGTAGAGCAGGAAGGGGCCAGTGACTGTGCAGGGGTGCACCCAACAGGGATCCTGTCGCCAGTTACAAAGCTTTCCTCCTCATCTGCAAGATGGGGAAATGTCACCACCTCCCATGGATGTGTCAGAGGAGCTCAGCAGCCACTACTATTGCTGTCACCCTCAACTCAGTTCCTGCCAGAGCACCACACCACCCTCAGGACAGAGTCTGATGACAGAAGCCACCTTAAATCTAAGCCATGGTCCTATTCCCCAAGGCCCACATGTCCCCTCCCCCGCTTCAAGGGGCAAAGGAGTACAAGGAGGCACAAAGGGGCCCGTGTGACAATAAATTATCACTTACAAAAAAACAGGCAGTGGGCCAGATTTGGCCCCTGAGTCCTAACTAGCCAACCCCTGTACCACAGGACTGTCACAACTGCAGGGTGCACTGAGGACAGTGCCTGACACACCATCAGCACCAACAGGCGATGGGCCACTTGTGTGATGTGAAATTAATGAAAACACAGTGAACTTCCTGGGAACAGACAGAAAAGAAATGTTCTGTAGGTCCACCTAAGACATGTGCCCACACGTAAGTCACCAAACAGTACATGTAGACTGGAGCATGCCCATGTATGTTATACCCCAGGTTTCTAAGAAGTTAAAAAGATGTACTAAAATTCATGGTGTTTAAGCACTGGGGAAAAGGACCCAGCCCAAGCCCTGCCCTGTCACGGACATGCCTCCCTCTGGGACTCTACATTCTCCGGTCTAAAGAATAATTGACTCAGTTTCCAAAGGGTTCCTCCAGTGCTGGGCGCCAGCAAGCAGAATCCCACCCCCTACAACCTAGGCTTGAGACGAAGCCTCCCCCACTGAGCAGTGCTGGCTGCACCCCAACAGGGCCTGTACATGCCTAAATCCCCACTTGTACCCCATTTGTTGACTACCAGGGCCTGTAGGCTGGGCCCATCGCTTACTTCTGTACAGCCTGCAAGCTTTCTAAAGACTCTTCTGTGGCCTGTGGGAAGTATAGGAAATGAGAACCTCAGCAACCACGCATGCTAAGTTGTGTGGCACAGCCACACCCATGCACTCAGACACCAGCTGAGGCTGCTGCCATGCACAGTGAGAGTTTGCCACCCCTGGCATGCTATATTACCTACCAATCAGAAATTACCCAACACAGCCATGGGAAATGGTCCAGAATACAAGACTTACGGCAAATACAGAGAGACAAATACCAGGTCCCACAGCGGAGGCTTTTTACTGGCACACCCACTTGCACCTCCAAAGCCAACCGAGGTCCCAGAGCAGGAACAAGGTCGACTGCAAGGCCCTCACTTCCCCAGCAGCCTCCATCTGGTCCTGGCTCTGCCACATACAGGGCATGCGTCCTCAAGCAGGCACAGCTCCCTCCCCGGGCCCAGACACCAGCTCTGCTGGCTCAGAGGCTCAGGGAACCAGGGAGAAAACACATGTCCTGAAACAACCACACCACTTCCTAAGCAGCTCCCGTGGGGCTGAAGGGAAGGGAGGGCCATGGAGCTGCTTGCGGGGGAAGCTTGACAGCTGCCCCACTCACCAGGCACATAGACAGAAGGGTTCTCGGACATGCCAGGCAGCGGCTGGTAGTCATGAGGCCTGCGGATCTTCAGGGACTGTCCCTGGAAGATGATGCCATCGAAGGCCATGGCCTGGGTAGTCTCGTCCACTGAGCGGAACTGAATGAAAGAGAACGGGGTGGTGAGGGGTGGGGGTCAGGGACCAGTTCAGCCCCAGTCCTAGTCCCCAGAGCTCTGTAACCTAGATTTCCTTTCCTTTCACTCTTGTGCTGGGCCCTGGGAGGGCAACAGCCATGTCCCTGCTTCCAGGCGCTCACACACCATGAGTAAAGATACCAGCACCCAACACAAATGCAGGGGCAGACATATACCCACAGATGTGATAACAATGAAAAAGGACAGAGTACTGGAAAAGGGGAAGTTTAGTGACAGTACTGAAATCTTTCTGACAAGGGGACATTTAAGTTGATATCCAGAGTAATGTGACCAAAAGCAGACTACAAGGAGGCAAGTACAGATTAAAAACCTATACAGCAAACGGACATCACTTAAACACCTTCACCACACCTTACAAAGTTACTAGCCCACCGAGAGTTAGAAATTAAAAACCAAGGTCCTTCTCCTGACAGGGAAGACCAGCAGGAACATAGTTTGCTGGGGAAAATAACTCCAGCCAAGGCCCAAGACAGGCAGAAGCAGTTTATGTTCTGAGAAGGCCAGTGTTGCCAGGATGCAGGGGACTGGTGCCAACAAGGCCGAGAGGTCTGCAGAAGTCAACCGGCCATCCAGGCCCCATGGAGGCATGAGGAGGCAGGCCGGGATATGCAGAGCTCCCTCTGGCAACCTGAGCAGAGCAGACTGCAGGGACCCAGTGGAACAGGCAACGCAGAAGCTCCGAGGGACTGAGGGAGGAATCACACACGTCCCTGTCACCGTCACTTGCCCAACTCACCTCCAAAAAGGCAAAATTCTTGTCTTGGTTAATCTGCACAGCCAAGACCGGGTTGCCAGGAGCCTGGGTCAGCCCACCCAGGCGCATCTGGGCGTTGAAGAAATCCATCATGGCCTCCTGCAGAGGGAATAGGAGACAGGGGGGGACGGGGGAAGGGAGGAGGAGAGAGGAGGGGAAGGGTGAGAGAGGGAGACACAGAGGGGTTTGGGGGCAAGGGGAGAGGGACGAGGGGAGGGAAGAGGGGGAGGGGAAGGAACAGTGGAATATGGGTAGGGGTGTAGAAATCAATAGTAGGAACAAAAGCAAGAGGAAAATAGAGAAAGTGGGAGGAAGCAGTTGCAAGAGACAGCCAAGGGTAGGCGATGGACAGGAGTCGGGGGAGAGCCATGGGGTCCCAGCACAAGTCAGAGAAAAGGAGATTGTTCAGGAAAAGACGAAGGAAAACGATGACAACAGAACAACGAAAAACAAAATACAGAGAAGATGAGGAGACAACACACAGGAAGGAAAATGAGGAGACAACACACAGGAAGAAAGGAACGCCCAGTGGAGACAGAAAGAAAAATGGCAAGTAGAAAAGCAGCAGCAGGCAGGAGCAAAGAGACGAGTACAGAACAGAAAGGGAGGCCAGGACGAAGAGGAGCAAAGACAAAGAGGAAGAGGAGGTCCAGAGTGTGGGGCAAGAGGGGAGGAGAAGTGTAGGGAGGAAGGAGTAGGACGGGAGGGGAGGAGAAAAGAGTGATGTGGAGGAATCTGGCCCTGGAGTCCGGGGGCTGGTTTATCAAATGTAGCAAAGTGCAGGTTGAGAAAGTCAGAATGGACCTTACTTGCCTTCGACGATGGTAGCAAACTTTTTGTTGCTACGAGGGATCTCAGCCCCACAATATTTCACTTTAAAGAGAAATGGAAACAACTCTTTGATCTCGGGATTCTCAGGGGGTGCCACGGGAAGGGGTGGGGGAGA